AAAAATGGGAGGCGAAAGGGCCTCATAAGTGGAATAGCCTAGGGCCTCTTTTCATCTAAATCCGGCCCTGGCCTCGTGGTTAATCATTTTGAAGAAGGGTTGTCTAAGATGAATTTGCAATATTGTTGCATCAGATTTGAAATCTCTTGTAGATTCCTGATGAGGAAATGCTCTCTATGGGAAAACTTTCTTACCAATTGAGTCTGACAACCTATTCTGAGGAGCAACTGTGATTGGTAAACGTATATTTTCTTTACTTTGGTGGATACCTTGATTTCAGAGAAGACATCATGTGAGGTGCCACCCTTTGTGGCCCACCAGCAGCCAGCGGAGCTGGTGGCAGATTGAGACAGTGAAGATGTTGGGAAGGAACATGGGCCAGTCCTGGAGTCTGGAGAAGGCTCTGATGAGTGCTCTGTGTCAGAGGCAGAGATGAGGCCAGGGCCATCTGACAGTTATCAGCTACCTTCGGAGTAAGATATCAGTGGGGCAGAAGAACAGCTGAGCCTGTTCCCAATGTGCGCATGCGCAGAGCTGCCAGGAAAAGGGAACAGCTAAGGAATAAGGGCATAACTCTGGAATAAAGCCACAGGTGGGCGGTGAATGGCTTAATTCCCATAGAGAATAAAGAGGAGAAGAAGGGGAGGGGAGTTTGCAGGAGACAATTATTTCAATTCTGACCTGATCTGTTTCTGACTTCTTGCCAAGTAATTGCTGCTACAGTATGGCGTTTGGAAGATATTGGCAACTCTCCAAGCCTGATAAAGGTCTGTAGTTGTGAAATCTCATGAAAGACTGTTTGCTGGGACTTTGCTGGAGAGAAATTCCCTTTAACCTAAATAAAAGAGGTTTTATCGGGATGAGGAGTCTGCTTCATGATCTTGGGAAGCCTAGGTCCGAACACCACCACCTGTTCCTTTTCCTCTTTCCCCTCCTCATATTTTTAATGTTGCTCCTGGGTTCCCCACATTTAATGGCCTATGTTAGAGGCTTGGTCACTGAACAATCATTTCTTCCAATTCAGAACACAGAGGATATTTATACTATATTCCCAATATCCTACCTGCCATGTGGTATGCTAGAAGTTTTAGATTTTTTTCTTCCTTTTGTCTTCTTACATAATTCGATTGTTGGAACTATGAGTGTTCCTGGACATTTAATTTAAATGTTCCCCAAATACTAAACTGGGGCACATTCAGCATTATTAATTTCAACAGAAAATTCTATTAACAATTTTGAACACATTATTTCCAGTTTTGGTTCTGGAGAGTCAGACAACAAAATACTCTATTCTTCTGATTGGTTGGTTCTACTGTTTTGGACATAAAATGAAAGCAATAGACAGTCTGGTGTTCAGGAATAGTTGAATACATGCTAATATGTCCCCTTTCTAAGATTTGCTTCCACATTAAAAATCTTAATGGGCGAGGCTCTCTGAATTCTTGCAAAAAATGTATTGCTTTTCCTCTCTTTCTATGCTGATTCTCTATCTACCAAGTCATGGTTATCCTAAGGGTGCTTTTTGTCAAAAGGCAACTGGACTTTCTAGGGTTTTTTTCTCTTTGAAACTTCTTCAAATAAAAGGTTTCGCTTCTCATCCAAGAAACAAAATGTTTTGAAAAAAAGAAAAAACAAGAAATTCTGGTTGCCTTTGGGGGGGGGGGAAGCACCTTTGGTTTACTTCTCCCTCACAAGAATATTTCCCCATTCTGATTTAGATGAGAAGCCCATAAACAGATGTAAATTTAAATTTGAAAATGGCAAGCAAGATTAAAATCTTGGCTAAACATCTCCCAGGCCCTCCTTTCAAAACTTGGTGCTATAAAGATCTGCCTCTGTTGCCATATTCTATGCCATTTCACTATGTGTACTTATAACATTGAGCATCAAACAAGAATCAGTTCTAAAGTTAATTCACACATGTGCTGCTGCTACTAAAACCCACTACTTGTGCCCATGACATAGATCACCATCCATTAAAGTCCACTCCAGTCCACTTCATAATTTGAAGAATTGTTTGACTTTACAGCCTCATAGTATTAGAGGAACAGCAGTTATCTCCAAGAGTTAACCTTCCTTGCATTGATTAAGTCCTGTTATATCTTAAGGTTCAGATAATTTTGTGATGATTCAGAATGAATTCTCGCTGTATTTTAGGGAAGTAGTTTATGTCTTACCAACCAGCCAGTAATTTCTCTTCCTCTAAATTCACTGTAGTTTAGGGTTTTGTTTTTTCAAAATCTCCTTCGCCTACAATGAAATGATTTTGGCAGGAGATTAGCCCTGACAGCAGCATGTATTTATTCAGCAAATGGCTCCTGATGGACATTGCAGTTGACAACAAATTCTCCCATTTTAAAAGGGAAATCCTCAAATTCATAGCAGAAACGTATATCAGTGGTTCTTAATCTCCCTGAACTACTGTAGAGAAAGATCCGGAAAAGGTTAATGTTGTAATGTCTTACTTGTGGTCTCTACTGAGAAAGCTGCCTCGACTCTTTGGGAATCGAAACCTGAACTAGACGGGAATTGGTCTTTTTATAATTGCACTGTAGGGCAGAGGAGAGTGACAAGATACATTACGACTGCATGTGTTGCTGAAAATCTTGTGTGTGATGTTGGCATCAAATTGCAATTCCAAACAGGTTTCTAAATAGAGAAATCTTATTTTAATGGACTATGTGGGGAAAGGGTGTCTGTTATTCACAAACGTCCAGTAAATTGGAGGGTACCTCATCAGATTAATTAATGTAATTTGTGTGATCGGACAAACGAAATAAAAGATCATATTTTTGTCTATGTATTATGAAATAACTTCATTACGTCAATAGACTAAATTGCATTAGCGTTTGGTCCCTTGCATGTAAAGTCCCTAACATCTGGTAAACTGAAATTTCACAGTAATGCCAGTCCAGTCATTTGTGGAAGTCATTATTTCACATGAAAGAAGAAGGTGAATTACTGCAGGAGTCACATTAACATGGTTTATAAGCGACTGATGCTCTGTTTTTCTTTAAAAATGCTCACACTTAGACTTAAAGTAGTGTAAGGACTCCCCTTCTATCTTCTATTTACAATGATTACCTGACCAAAGCATTGTAAAAATACTGAAACACAAGAAAAAAGAAGGGGGAAATTGTAGCAACAAAATCAAGCAACATCTCCCCTTACCCCAGTTCTGTTTGCTCTGCTTCTATATCCCCTTCACAAAAATGGTACAATAATTTTAAAGCAGGGGGGAGTATTTGGCATAGCACTAAGTTTTTAATGTGACAGATGGATGCAGTAATTAAATACATCATTGGAAAGTAATCACATTACTTATATTTAATTACATGTAAGTGACATCAAATTTAGTTTTTGTTCTGGCAAACTCAATATTTTTTGGAATGCAGCTCTTGGCTGACCATGGCTATCAGCCCGGAAAATATTGTGCATCCCTTCTGGAAGGATCTGTTGGGTTTCCCCCACCCCTCCTCTTCCACTTGCTTTTCTTATTATGCTCCATAAAAGAGGGGTGCTTTTTTCAGGGTGGGGCCACTTGTCTTTTTTTAGCTAACTGTTGATGCACATCTAATCTCATAATTCTATAGACATTATTGGAGCTCTCTATTTTTTTAAAGTATTTTTTTTTCAAACTTTTTGCCTGCATTACCATATCTTGACATGCTTCCAGGGTTCTGTTCAAACGTTTATAAAACCCCTGGTATTTTCCATCTGAATGTTCACTGGAATCCTTAGAAGCCCAACTTAGCTACTGTTCCTTCTTTTTTGTCTACTGCCTCTTTCCAAGTTCTCCAAGGTCAATTCCCTGAAGAAAGAGGAATGATGGTAACAGGTGACAGAAGGCTAAGGTTACTCGGTTTTCTGAACCTCATATTATTTGCAGCTGGGAATCATGAAAGCTTGGTTGTGAGCCCACTTAACTTTAAAGAAAGTTTTGCTAGGTTCTCTCATTAGGACGGGGAAAGTTTGCATTTTGAGCTGCTCCTTGTATGCATGTATACAGATGGAAAATCATATAGATTGCTTCCAAGACAAGAGTTAAATGAGATATACATCAGTGTAATTACTGCCTGAAGTTCACGCAGGAGTAAAAACTAGCAGATACATACTGGTTGGGTTGGTACTTGTTTTACCACATCTTCTGCACAGACTTTCTTAAATAGACTTTGTAGCTTCCCATCTTGCAAAAATAGGTGCATTGGATCAAGGTAACTATATTCTTATCAACAGCTTTAAAATCTAATACTGTGGGCTTCTCTTTGGTCATGATTCAAAGCAATCTCAGAAACATTAATAGAGACAACATTGGATTGTCAACCACAAAAAGACACCTCTAATCAAGTTTCTAACTGTGTGCTCTAATTCCATAAGCTCGGTTGAACATTAGATACAAAAACGTTACCTCTGTGTTGTCTAGAAAGCAGGCCACATTCTCTTTCAGATCAATTATAGTTGATGCCAATGACTGAAACTTTTCTTCCAGTTTATCAAACTCTTTATCCTCTGTCTAAAGATCAAAGACAAGAAATTACATTTTGTCAAAAGGCAACTTACAGGTAATAAAAGATCAGTATAGAGCAATGATGCAAAAGAAAATTGAATGCTGCTGGTGAATACAGACTTCTTCTGTGAATGTCAGTCATACTGTTGGAAGAATTTTCCTCGGTTCCTTTCTCCCAAGCTGGGAAAAGAGACCATTAGCAGTCTCCCTGGGGAAGCGCAAGCATCCCTAAAATCAAGACACTGAGGCTATCAACGTTCCATCCGACAAACCCAACCAAAGCAAGCACGGACGAGATGATCCAATCTCTTCATGCAAAACTTTATTGAGTACATCACTTCGGCAAAGATGAAGACAAAACTAAATCTAACTACCGGTACTTCCTGAGCAAACCCACATAGTTAAAATTTAGATTCTCCTCCCCCCCCCCCCGGTTAGATCAGGGGTCCAATTGTCTAATTCAGACTCATGGTATTGTTATGAGAAAGTCTTTTGGCTCTGGTAAACACCTGCCAAAGTGTCCTTGGTTCTCACACCTTGTTTTCTTGATGTCTGGAGCCTACATTCCACCTCCCCTTTCTCTCCCCACATAGTTTGTTGGCAAGCTCAGAAGCGAAAATAGTTGCAACAACAATAGCCCCTTTTTGAAGCTTGGCAGAGGCTGGCTGCTTGAAGAGGAGGTCTCTCTTTATTGGGCAGCTGGCCATCGACTGACCCATCAGTAATATTTTTACATCATTTTGAGCCCTTTGTGAAAGACATGCAAGGGAGATATATGGTTTTATGACCGGAACAGGAAATACAAATGTGATGCATGGCTTTTATGGTTTACATGGTGTAAAGAACATGGGCATTAATGTTAAAATTTCCACACCATTTAAATGTTGATTGATTTCAAGTTTCCTAACAGCATTCTACTATATTTAAGGAAAACATCATATTTTATGAATGAAAATAGGGTTTCTCTGACTCCAGATTAGAAGGCGTTAAAAGAAAATGGATGATTTCAGGATAATGTAATAAAATGTTATACTATAAATTTACTTTAAATTTAATATGACTTATGTTGAAAGAATGTAATAATAGCTGGGCTTAATGGATGTTTAATAGGTATAACAATTTATTAGATAGATTGTATATTAGATTGATAATACCAATAATGGGGGAAAAACATGGAATTGGAAACTATTAGAGAATGTTATCAATGCTAAAATGATTGAATGACTTAGAATAGGATGAAGCGTAATAACAATGTATACGAAGTTATCTTGATTGTCAATATGTGAATTTTGATAAAATTCAAGTGAGGATCACAGAAAGGACACAGAAAGACTTTGTAACCAATCGACACACTGTGTGTAGTTGAAGAGGCTTTTATGTTATATGTGTTGTGTGTTTGTGTAACAAACACACAACACATATAAATATACAGTTTAAAAGATATAAATATACAGTTTAAAAGATGAAAAGAAGAAGAAGGTGGGGTGGTGGTGGTGGAGAGATCAGAAGCTTTTTAACTTCTATCAATACTTATAAATGTATGTTGCAAATGAATAGGCAAGAATGGTATGCAAAGCAAATATCTGCCATTTCTGGAGTTCCCAGAACTTATATTATTTCTGATAAATCCATACTTTGGGTCAACAGGAAAGCATGCAAGCATAGACCCGTCTACTGGCTCTTGGAAGAGGTAAGAGACAAACTGCTGGAAAATGACTATGCAAAGAGAAGAGAGATGATTGAAAGAAATTTATTTCAGTGGGAAAAGCTGATTTCACTAAATTTGCTTCAGTTCTTGAATTTTTTTTTCCACTGCCCTAAAGCAACTAAGTTGAGAGTTAAGGAATATTACTCCAATAGATATTTCCACACAGGCTTTCCGATAAGCTAATTTTAAGCAGGGTCATAATACTTTATCTTCTACAAACAGGAACTAGTGCTAAGCCCAATATCTCAATTAGGGATGTAATGAGGAGTGGAAAATGCTCGGCATGCTTGCAGCACTACATAAATTACTACTCCTGTCATTACATGTGAAGGAATCATCCTCAGCCAGGTCACAAGCAGAAGTTGTTATGTGATCCTCTCCCAAAATATGCCATGCTCCATAAATGAAGCACATGAACTCTTAAAGACTGCAGTACTGCTATCCACGAAGCAACTTGAGGGCATTTTGAGGCCGTCGGGGTGAATTCAGTTGAATGGAATGGAAACTGTGGACGAGATGGAGGGTCCTGGAGTCTACATTTCCTAGAATACTCAATCTCTATAACTGTACCGTTTAAAGCAACAGCACTTAGACTTATATACCGCTTCACAGAGCTTTATAGCTCTCTCCAAACTGTTTACAGAATCAGCATATTGCCCCCAACAATCTGGGTCCTCATTTTACCAACCTCGGAATTTTTAGAAACCTTTCAACATTCTTCTTTGTCATTCCAGACCACTGCAGGGCATTCAGTACCAAGACATACGGCAGAATGACATATACTTACCTTGGTCACAATCCCAGTTTCGTGCATGAAGAGGCGGCTCAACCGTGCAGTCTTCTTGGCAATGGAGTGGGTATTGATACGGGCCAGACGTTCTCGCAGAGTCAGATACCCAGCTTTGTTATATTTATCTGCTGTTCTCAAACCAAAAGAGGAGAAGGTGAGAAATGTAACAGAACAAGTTATATAAAGCAGGAGGAAAAAATTTCCTGGTATTTAAGGATTCTTCAGTAAATGTAAGAAAAAGAATGCCACGGGAAAACGTAACTTTGATATCCCAAAGGTGATTTTTCAACTGGACTTTCTGTGTTTTTTTTTCTTTTGAAGACGTTTCGCTTCTCATCCAAGAAACTTCTTCAGCTCTTACTGAATGGTGGGGAATGGAAGGATTTATACCCTTAGGCAATGATACTTCGCTGCATTAACAGACATTTGGTTGAGATGAGACCATCCATTGAGAAGGGCTGGGTTCACAAGCAAATGAACTCCAAAATGGCAAATCCCCGAAACATAACCGTGTCTGAAAGTAAAAGCGGCAGAATTCTTTCAGACACGGTTACATTTTAGGGAGCTGTCATTTTGTAATTCGAACCCTTCTCATCGGATGGTCTTGACTCAACCAAATGTCCATTTAATGCAGCGAACTATCATTGGCTAGGAATATAAATCCTTCCATTCCCCATCATTCAGTCAGAGCGGAAGAAGCTTCTTGGATGAGAAAACCCAGAAAGTCCAGTTGCCTCTTGAAAAAGCACCCTCCGACCTGGATGACGGAGAATCTCGATAGCTACTGTAACTTTGATACAGTTGGATACACTGATTAACAACAAGCTAAAGAAGCAATCAAATATAGGATCAAGAGGCTGCCTTGTAGCCATTGTCTCTTCAGCTAAAGAAGAGTATATAATAGATTTTCCTTGCTTAGGAATCCCCAAATTTAGTGAACCATAACTTTGGGGTCCTTGGTGCTCTCTGAGCTTAGTTATTTTCTTGCGGACATTTCATTACCCAACTAATTAACATCATCAGTGCTAGGCTGATGCTAGCACTGATGCCTAACACTGATGGTGCTACCTATCAGATAATGAAATGTCTGCAAGAAAACAACCAAGGCCACAGAGCATCAAGGGCCCCAAAGTTTAACCCTGAGCTACAACTATTCTCTTCTATCAGAACCATAACTTCTGTCATTTCCAGGACAGCACCCTGATTGAGAACGATGGGAACTGTTGTCCAACCCATCTACTGTACTGGGGAGGCTCTGCTATGTTTATGCAAACAATTCTGACAAGACAAACCTACAGACTGCTACATTACGACCATCTTCAAAGATGATCTGTTTCCTATCCCTTAGTTTTAGTTCAGCTTTGAAGCTAAGTTCATTAATGGCTGGTTCCAATTCAGTAAGGCATATTCCTCAGGCATGACTGGTCCCAACTCTCCCAAAGAAGAATTATGCCTTCCAATGTATTTTTTCTTTCCAAAGTGACTTCTCCATTGTTTGCATGTTTGGAAGCGCAGCAGAAATAAAAAATCTGTGTATGAATAATGTTGCCCATTGTGCTTTAGACCCAGAGCTATAAGTGAGTTGTAGCTGATTAATTTCCTACATTGCAAACGCTGACTCAGGAAACCGCTTGCTGTGCCAAGGTAGAAATGATGTTAGAATCACATTTTTAAAATGTGCTTTCCCTTTATTCAATATCCCTAGGTAAACTCAAGGAAATTAGATCACAAAGTCCTGAAAAAATACATCAAACATTCCATATAGCTGTGATGGCGATCCACAGGTGACACACACAGCCCTCTAGGTGGGCATATGAGCCATCAGCCTAGCTCAGCTCCACAGCTCATGTAAGCGTGCCTCCCGCCAGCCAGCTGATTTTCAGATCTCTGCTGTGCATGCACATGGGTGGGGCACATGCAGCAGGCGCGTGTGCATGTGCAGAGTGATGTGTGCATGCACAGGGGGCTCACACATGCATGCATAAGGGGCGAGCACAGGGGTTGCTCCCTCCACAGCCCGTTTTTGGTCCCAGGAGGCTGCAATGAGGCCTACTAGACCGAAAACGGTTTGCGGGGGGGATCCCCTCATGGGCCATTTTTGCTCCCAGGAGGCTGCAGGGAGGCCTACTAAGTAGGCCCAAAATGGAATGTTTGGGGTTCACATGCATGGGGGTGGGGGTTGCAGGGGGTGGGTTGCGTGTGCATGCACGGGGGGAGCATGGGGTGTCACATGCACATTGCATTATGGATGCTTTTGGCACACAACAACAAAAAGGTTAGCCATCACTTCCAGCCATCACTGCTTCACTTGACCCACTCCAGATATACCGGATTTCAATTTTCCAACAAATTGTTGTAGGGGTTTGAGTGCTATTGGAAGTTGAAGGTTCCTGGCATTCTGCAGTAGACCTAGCCAGAGAAGAGCAATCTCTCTTACCTATTTCCTTCCGCCTTTTATATTCATTGATATTGGCATTGACATCTGTCATAGCAGTGGCTGCAGCCTGCAGGGCTCCATAGCCACTGTCAGAGTCTGAAGTGTTTTCCACAATCTTCTGCAACAACAGTGGGTATTTTGTGATTCGTTGCACTGGCATCACCAGGAAGAAGCTCAGGTTCGAAGCACCAGTGTGAGGCCTGACCAAGAAATGCATATGGATATATTAGTAAGGGTCCCCTCAAGCAAACAGCGCCATCTATTGTTACCCAGAAAGCGTATTTTCTCTGCCATGGAGCTTGTTCTCTGGAATAACATCCATCCCCTTCCCTGTCCAGAAATCCGTATCAACCCCTTATCCTGGTGATGTTTCAGAAAGCCTTCAAAATCTGGATCCCACCCCCCCACCCCCAGCCTTGTAGTGGAGTATTTATGGAGCCCTGTAGGCGATATTTTTCTAAGAGGTAGTGGGTTTGTGTAGACGCAGGGATTTTCTTACTGGTTTTCCTTGTTTCATTTCTTGTAAGCTACCCAGAGTCATTTCACAATGGGTGTCTCCTAAATAAATAAATATCAGGAGTAAAATGACTTTAAAATGTTTCAGGCGTCCCAAGCGGGAAACTGTACATTTCATATGTATTTAACAGAGAGGCAGCATTTGCATTTTACATCTCCATTTATTTATTTGATGTACATTTCATTTTTCTCTTGTACATCTCAAGACAGTATACATAATAATTCTTTTCCCCAATCCAATGAGATGGAATGGGGGTGAGAAAGGGTGGCCAATCCAGCCATTCAATTGGTTCCCTTGCCTAAAAGAAAACTAGAAATCCCATTTCCCAATTTCTAGTCCACTACTTTACCCACTATGTCAAACTGGTTTTTTTTTAATTTGAGCCTGCAAAACAAAAACAACCCAACCAAAAACAAAACAAAATCCATGAACCAAATACAATAGCCATCCTCCCTTTATAATATTCTAAAGTATCTTCTATATCCACTTGATAATCCACCTCCAATTGTTATGCTTGATTTCCAGCAAAGTTAAGATGTTTAATCTTTAAAGCCCCATGGTAAGCTATAACCATGCCATTGCCTGGAACATGGGCAAGTCACCAGTGTGTGAGAGGATTACACATTAGCCTTGATTAACAATGCAGGCCTGATGGAAGGATTCTTGCTGCTGCTAATGCTACTTCTCTGTTAAGGTTGAAGGGGTTTTCTGCACCTGGGCTCTAGTTGGTAGTAGTGGCAGAAAGAAATGTGTAAGCTGAGCTCCTATGTATGAGCATCTTGTTTCAAAGAAGGCCAACAAGGCCTCTAAAAGCTTATCAACAGATGAGAGCTCAGCAATTGATATTCTGTTATTGTTGTGATCATACGGTGTTGTTACATTAGCCAGGAGACCACAATGCTATTGTAAAGTAGTAGTTTGGTTGGCAATTTACCACTGTTGTAGGACAGGCTCACACACTTCCCAGGGTGAGCCGCAGGAGGCGAGGTGGCTGTGCACCAGAAAGAAAGGCAAACGGCTCTTTCTGCAGCACCATCCCTTCCCTGGAGCCACCTTGCAAATGGGCACCACAACCAGGAAGGTTCAGAGCCAGCAGGTATCTGACTGCCTGTATGGAGTACCAACTCATTTCTCCACCAAAGTGATATCTGTTTATCTACTTGCATAGAACATGCTTTCAAACTATTAAGTGGGCAGAAGTTGAGGCAACTGATGGGCGCTCACTCTTCCCTGCAGTTGAGTGCTACAACTCAAACCGCTGGAGCAGAGACCATCTCCACCGCTATTAAGCAACTGAGCTTTATAACTGTGCCCCTGGTACTCTGTGATGCACTTTCTCTGGACATAATGATTCAGTGTCAAGGCAAATTTTTCTCTAATAGCTTTTGGAGAATGTTTTGTTTTAATATTCAATAGCTTTGCTATGCTCACAGAGCATTACTAGATACCATTTTTTCATGGCACCTTCCATGAAAAATAATATCCACTAAAGAAGGAAACATGGTGTAGTCTGCACAATGCCTTTTTATTAGTACTCCAACCAAACATGCTAAACAGCACAGTTTTATTTAATCCCATTAAAAACTCATTTGGCCCAATGGCCACCTTATCTGATGGCACTGAATTCTGTAAAGGACAAGGATAAACTTTGAATCTTGCCATAAATTAATTGAACATCACAATTGCAGGAAATTAGTACAATCCAATAAAAATCCAGTGGAAAGTTGATGTTTAGCTCATATTTGCACATCTACTTGTTCCTCTGCTTTTAAACTTGATTCCTATTTAGCAAAAGGCCTCTATGTTCAAAATGAAATACAAATGGCATTAGTAGACTTACTTCACATCCTACTGTGTGGACCATGGTAGATTTACACCCTCTGGTTTGGATGTGAATAGTGGTTGATTTGGAAAAAGAGCTGCAATCTCTCACAGCTATACTCCCCTAATCTGTTTCAGCAAGCTGAAGGGATGAAGTAACCAAAGGGCACAGATGCTGCCTACCACTGACTGCTGTAACTGCCTCATTAAACCCAGGGCTGTGTTTCTTGAAAAGTAAAAAGGTTCACATACTAAAAATCTGGGTTGTGTGATGCCACCATCATAAAGTATACTTACACAGTGGTAGTCAAAGTTTCCATGATTTCTTTTTGCAATCTTGGCTCCTTACTATAAATATCCAACAGTAAAAGAGCTTGGTCATAGTCTCCACAATAAATTTTATAGACATTCTCCATTTCTTCTTTGAGCTCTTGAAATAAAGTGCCTACCACAACAAAATTATAAAACCATCAGAATGAAGACTCCCAAGACATATACTGTATCTTGAAAAGCCTTAATGCATCAAACTGTTCTTAAATCTCATTAATTAATCTCACTTTTATGCATATATACATACATACAATATATGCGCGAACCAGTAGTAGTGGTGGCACGAGGCTCTGCCCACCCACCCAGATGTCATCACGGAGCTTCTGTGCATGCCCAGATGGGCTGCGGGCAAGCGAAGCAAGAGCGCATGTGCGCTCCCGCTACCAAACCAGTAGTGAAGATAATAGGATACCATTACTGCTCAGTACTCATTGTTAACTGGTTTTGAGAGGCTTGCTAAGTACCAAACAAATTTTTCCCATAAGGAATAAATCAAGATAGCCAGCACTGACAAGTTCTAGCTTATACATTGAGTACCAAACAAACAATGAGTACTGGGGCAAAATTTTTATGACAACAAGCATTAAGTACCAAATTTGATGAGTTTCAAAGCAATTGAGTAACAAGGTACCACTGTATAGTTGGCTAATTATGAAATTAAGGAGCTATCCCTTCATTATCACCCCCTGCCCAAGTCCTTGAACGTGCCACACCTCTCAAGGATATTCAAAAGTGACAATTGAATTCAGTAGGCAGATTTTTCAAAGAATGGGATTACAACCCTTGGATTCATCCTTTGCCTGCTTCTTACTTACCCATCACAGTGCAAAACTCTTCTTATCATTAGGTCACATATGAAAGATTATATTAGCCTCACTTTACACTGTCTCCTCCTTTATCTACTGTCTCTCACTACCCATTGTTTCTTTAAACTTTAAGATCCTCTGCTTATTTTACCCCTTAGACACCCTATCTTTTCATCAGGTTCCAGCATTCTTCTCTTTCTTTATCCACAGTATTCTCTGGAGTGCTTTGAAGATGCTTCACAGATGGCTTCCTAAATGTCCCCTTTTATGACTCATACTGTGCTGTCCCCAGAATTTGAACTCAAAAAATTAAAAATATCTAAGCAAAAAAAAAACATATTGACTTCCATTTACTTAGCAAGCACAACAGCTCTTTACTGTTTTGGAGGTTAAATCAGCTCTCTTTAGTCCATAATTTCATGTACAATTTTAAAATAACTACACTTTTCAGAATAACTATTTTGTTCTGATACAAATAATAAAAGTAATTCTGGAATCACAGAAATAGCTAATTAACATCAGGCTAAGTAACCCTTAGATCTTTCAACTCTTGAAAAAGTGATATTGAATCCAGCTTTTAAGACATTAAGCAATCTGACACTGCTTCATAGCACTTGTATCAAAGTTATCAAAGTACTGTTATTATAATAGAAAGTATACTATTTCTTTAATAACAACAGTATTTTAAAAATATGCAGTAGATACATCATTGTAGATACTACCTACTGATATGAAAAAGTTGTTCCTGCCCCTGGTTCACAGAAGTTTCAAGTCCTTTCAACAAACGTTTCGAAACCTGCAGGACATCGTCTATATTAGAGAACAATCCTTCCAGGTCAATTTCAGGCAGCTGAAATAGAGAAGTACAAATGTTTCAGTTTCCTTTCCTATTCTACAAGACAAAGATAGTTACTACCTTTTTACAGGGACATTTCTATCCCAACATTGCTTCTAAAACTGTAAACATATATACTTTGTGCATCCTGACAAACCCCTTTGTATTTCTGTAAGCAGCTGTATCATGCTGCTTTATTGATTTATGGATTCTTCAGGTGCAGAAGTTGAGAGCACATTGTTGAAGAATGACTCTGCAGAACACAACAGCTGTGCAGATGGAAGAAACTTTCTCACCACAGGATCCAGTGGTCATTTCAAGCCATATCTCCAATCAGTGAAGCCATATCTCCAATCAATCATCCTTACTTGATAAAGAATACATTAACAACTAATATACTCTTTTTTCTCTTGCCTTAAACATAATTTCCATAGTATCTCCAGTTGCAGACTTTTCTCCCTATACCCTATGTTTTACCATTAATTTAATGGCTTAGTCTACTTTAAGGTCTCAAGTTTGAGACAAGCCACTGATGCTTAGCTTCCTTAATGCCTTAAGACAAAACAGGATTCCCTCTTGTAGATAATAATTTTTTTTAATCATAACTCAAGTGCTGATGATTACAGACCATCTCTCTCATTCTCACCTGTTTTTTCTGGAGGTGATCACGGATGTCAAAAATGCAGAGCTGAAGGCTGTGCACATAGTTAGCCTCTGTAGTGATGAGCTCATCCAGGGCCATTTGGTGATTCGGCTGTGGTTTGTCAGAAGACACCAGAGTTTCATAAATATGTTCATAGATATGTTCCTCATCCTCTGACGTCACGTTGGATGGTGGTTCTTCAGTGTAGTCATTTGCCATACTAGGAGCTACAAAGGCAAAATGAGAAGTTTCAATCATTGTTCATATGAGCAATAGTCAGGTCAATTCTTAGGCTGTATTTTAATAGGGATTTCTCCTTTTGTTTACTATTACATTTTGAAAATATAAGAAGTTAGATAACATATACTGGCAACATCTTATCAAATGTAAATTTTCTTTATCATTCATAAAGGGATTATCAGCACGGGGTAAAGTACCATCAATACGCAGATGATACTCAACTGTATCTTTCTGCCCCGTGCCAGCTCAGTGTAGCGGAGGACGTGATGTGCCGATGCCTGGAGGCTGTTGGGATCTGGATGGGGGTGAACAAACTTGTGCTCAATCCCGATAAGACTGAGTGGCTTTGGATGCTGCCCCCGAAGGACTGCTTAGATAGTCCATCCTTAACCCTGGGGGGCGAAAATTTACACCCCTCAGAGAGGGTCCGCAATTTGGGGGTCCTCCTGGATTCGCAGCTGAAACTGGAACATCATCTATCCGCTGTGACCAGGGGGGCCTTTGCCCAAGTACGTCTGGTGCACCAATTGCGGCCCTATTTGGATCGGGAGGCACTTCAAACGGTCACTCACGCCCTTGTCACCTCAAGGCTGGATTATTGCAATGCGCTCTACATGGAGCTACCCTTGAAAAGCGTTCGGAGACTACAGCTAGTCCAGAATGCAGCCGTGTGAGCGATATTGGGTGTGCCGAGGTACACCCACGTTACACCTGTCCTCTGTGAGCTGCACTGGCTGCCAATTGGTCTCCGGACGCAATTCAAGATGTTGGTTATTACCTTTAAAGCCCT